CAGATCAATTCAACAAAATGCATAGTTCTCCAAAACTGTGGTGTTATGGGAGCCCAGTGAAGGCTATTGCTCCTAATGACAGGGTGAACCATAAGGGGAATTCCTCAGAACAGTCCTGTTTTCATCAGGACTCCCACAGGGGAGAGTCATAGGGACGTGTGGTACAGGATAGGGGCCTCTCTCAAGAAAGGGATTTGCTGCATGGTGAGAGAGAGGAGAGCATCTGTGACAATCCCTTTGGGACAGGAATGTAGATGAGAAGATTGGAGGTTTGCAGCCTTTTTTATTCAGTCATCAATAACCACTACTGCTAGTCCCGTCAGTGCTGGGCTCCGAGCTTAAAACCATGAACACACATATATATAACATTCACAGAGCGCTCAGTTTAGCAAGCAGTGAGCCATGAGAGTGTAGTGATGATGAGTTCCCTGAAGGAAGTTGCCAATGCTGTGTTGGGTTGAGCTCAGTGGATGCTGTTGTACCCCTTCTGGTTGTTTCCAACAACTGGATAACCTGTGTTTCTCTGGGAGCAGCCAACACCTTGGCTCCCTGTTTGGTCAAAATACTGAACATTGCTAAAAGTGTCTATAGGAAACTAATCCGTAGCTATTGACTATGTCCTGGCCAACTGGAAAACAAAGAGGTAAGGTTACTAAGTCTTCTAGTTCATCCTTACCACAGTGATCACTGATGATCTGTCTTCTGTTTGATAAGGTAAATGATTTCCAGACTTCAAGATTCACTAAGAAAAAATTACATTGCCGGAACCTGAAGAACTCAGATCACTCTATAAAAAAGATACCTGCACACATATGTTTATCACAGCATTGTTCACAATAGCAAGAACCTGGAACCAACCATGCTGTCCATCAAAAGAGGACTGGATTTTTAAAATGTGGTACATATACATGATGGAATACTACGCAGCCATAAAAAAGAACAAAATCATGAATTTTGCAGCAACCTGGATGGAACTGGAGTCTATAATACTGAGTGAGCTCTCACAGAAACAAAGATCTGAATATCACATATTCTTACTCATATAGTGAACCTTGAACATCTATTGTGATACTGTAAGAAAAGGATTGACAGTGGTGGGAAAATATGGAGAGTTAGGGAGGGGATGAGAGGTGGGATTAACGGTAGTCAATATATGTCTGGGGATGGGGAGACACCCCTTATCAACAAAGGTGCCTGAACGAAGCATACTTGTATGCCTAACCCTTAACTGTACCCCATAATATTAAAATAAAAAATATTGATTTAAAAAAATATATAGCATATTTGCCATTTTATAGAATTGCATAATTTTGTATTTTATTATCTAATTAGAGATCAGATAGCTAAAGTAGAAAGAGTAAAGCAACTTCTAAGTGTAACGAGAATAAATGGGGGTCTGGGACTAAAATTCTGGCTTGTGATTCTCAACATTTACTGAATTGTAAGCATTGTGAATAATAATGGATTATGAATGATAATGATTGAATAATTATTGTGGTTGCTTTATTAGCAATGCTCAAAACTCATCCTTGTGTGACTTCAAGTAAGCCATATAACTTTGTGAACCTTTTTAGACTGAAGAAATTTGACAGTTTTCTCTCTGCCACAGAATTCAGGTCTCACAATCTCCAGAAAAAAAGATTTCTTAAAAACCTTTGATACATGATAACCCTCATTGACCAATGTCTTTACACAATGTAGTTCAAGGATGTTCTGGGTTGCTGAGAGGCTCACTTTCAAGTGTGATTGGTCCAGTCCTCCTTCCTTCACTTCCACATGTATGCTCGGCACCCATGATCACACCAATGGTACCCTCATCTCCCAGAAGTCCGGCGGCTAAAATGAAGAGACCTGGGCTACAGGACTTTCTCTCTCAGTCTCAGGCTCACAATTCCTGGGTAGGAACGGAAGCTGAGAGGGCGATGAGATGGTTCAGGGGATAAGTACCCCCTGCTTGTGTGTCTCTCTCAACTCAGCCTCCCCTTCAACCACCCTGACCCATGACCTTGATCTTACTATGTTCTCTTAGTGAAATACAAACACAGCTTAGGCACACTCAAAAAAATCTAGCAACCAATATTTCATAAAAACTGCGCATGAGCCCTATTCTGTTCAATATATGGGGAAACTAGCTGGAAATGATAAAAACAGCATTAGGTTTGCAAGGTTTCCCAAAATAGATGGTCACTACATGCTTTCAGGAGATACATAAAACTGATATTGATCACTTGGTTACCTGAAACAGTTCCTTTGGGACTAGAATAGCATCCATAACTAACAAGAATGGTATATAGTATTTAATGACATTAAAACACTCCAACCCATACATACAGTAGGAGCTTAGGAGACAGTAATGTCAAAACAGTTTTAAGTTGAAGGAAATATTAGCATGCTACTTCTATTAGGGAAAACATCAACAATAATAATGTAACAATGAGCTACAGAAAGAAAAATAATGAGACAGTATAGAAAACATTTTTAAAGGAAATATTCATTCCCTTAATATTATACTCTGATTATCATCATACACTGTTTCATGGGAAAAAACCAAATAAGCAAGCAAACAAACAAACAAAATGGCAGAAGACCCAGACAACAACATAATGACCATCTAAGTTAGCTATGTTTTCCTTGTGGAAAAGCCTTAAGACCTACTTAAACTTAAAGAAATGGTAGGATAATTTTATGGCAACCATTAAGAAAATCAATCCTGATGAATAACAATTGATGATTCTATAAAAAGAAGGGAAAAACCGTGAGCCATATACGTAGCTAAATTGGAAAAGAGATCTGTGGTATTGTCAGCTGGGTACACAAATACTAAGAATGACTGGTGAGAGCATGGCCCCCATCAGTGGTGATTTTCAAAGGAGACTGGTAGAACTTGTGTTGTCAGCATGTCCCAGCCAATCAGATGGCAGGGCCTCCTAAGATTCCATGGCACCCACACATTTAAAATATGTTGTGGCAACCGCAGACCGTTACCTAGCACACTCGGTGCTACATACTTCACTTCTATCATAGACATAGCTTCAGGCAGTGCCTTTGACTGTGAGCTCTGGTATCTGGACCCTCATTTTTAGTGACTTTCAAGGGTGCTGACCAAACATTTCTTAACAGTAAGTGAAGAATTACAGCTTCTGTTATCCCTCAGTCCTGATTAAGCCTATTTGATTTCATTTGTTTTTCACGCATCATGTGTTTGGGTTTCTTCTCCTCAGTCCCTGTCTCTCTCTACCTCTTCTGCTACCATGAACAGCACGGCCGTATCTGTCATATCTTTGGCCAGACAGAGAGCAAAAGCAAACTTTACAGGAAACAAGAAGGAATTGAACTCAGGGCTGGTAAACACAAAACAGCAGTTACGTGACCTAAAACAAAAGCTACTGATCTCAGAAGCCACTGCCTATGCCCTGGCCAACCAGCTGCAGCAGTACAGTAAGTTTCAAAGGGTCACATTCACCAAAGTGATGACTGTTGATCCATTATCTCTCTGAGAAAGTAAATGGTTTTAGGCTAGATTGGTCAGTTCCCTTACCAACGTAAATTTCATCCTCACCATATGCCTAGCTAGGTAGAACTGGATACTTTAACTTCTTTTTGCTGAGGATGGAAAACTGAATCCCAAAGTGTTTAGCAACTTTTCCAAGGATGCCAATGGGGTATAGGATGGAAACAGAGTAAAAATCCCAGGTACTGATTCTTAGTTTTTCTGTTTTCCAAAGTGAGAAGCTTAGGCTATTTTTCTGAAGAGCCTTCTGTAGTCTTCATGATTCTGCAAGACAAGTGACATTTACACTGTTGGCCTGAATGTCTAGGACTAATGAATTTCCAGTTAACTCAAACTTTTAGGCCCAATAGGCCTAGCCGCGCTGGTTACACCGGGGGAATGTGGTGATCTTACATAGCTCCTGCTTTAAAGGAGCTTGAAAAAGATCTGCTCCTCTTGGAGTCTGTGACATCCACAGGTGACACCATCAAGAGCAGGGACTACGTGGTTGAGAAGGAAGCCCTGCTTCCTGGGCACAGGCTCGCAGTCCTAAGGAGAACAGAAGAGAAGATAAGCCCAAGCATTGCTTGAGGGAACACAGTGCAGTGTGTCGAGCAGTTTCCTGGGCTCCTGCCGTTGCTTCTCTTCTCTGTGCCTGGGTTTCTTCATGCGTCAATGTGCTGCTATAGTAGAACCGACTAACTTGAGTTGTTATACTTAGTTACAGAGTGTACGTTTTGCAAATCTCCTAGGACAGTTCTTGGCACAGAGGAAACACTCTGTGCTAGTTCTTCATTCCACAATTTCTAATTTAACATAAAATTTATTCGTATTTGGGCATATTTCCTTATGGGCCTATGGTCCTATGCCCAATATTTTACATGATTTTATCAATATAGTATTTTTAAAAATCATTTAGATTTTTTTCAAAATTCCAGTAAAAGGGAACCATGAGTCCCATTGACCTAGGGGCCTTCTCAACTCCCCAGGAAATCAGGACTTTCTGTGCAGCACAGACTTTTCCGTAAGAAACTTCAAGACTTGGTAAAGTGGCCCATTACTATGTCAGGCCTTAGGGGATGTGAATTCAGACTCTATCAAATTCAGTAAAATTATCTTGTCAACTGCCTCTGAGTGTCTCTTTTCTCATCTCCAAATTGTGTAGTATCGGATGCCATGGAGTCGGCAGGTAGGTAAATAATGATGTGGAAATCCCTGCCTAGACTGGAACTGGGGGTTCTTATCTCCTAGGGAGAGGCCCTCCTTCTCTGCTCTAGACAGTGACCAAAAGAGTATTGCCAGCTTTCCCTGAGGCAGGCGTGTCTGTCTTTTCTCAGAGTGTGAGGAGTACAAAGATTTATTGGAGTCCGTGCTGGGGGAGGAGCTGCAGTTCCAGGAGGGGGAGCCAGTGCAGAAGCCCAGGCAAGCTGAAGAGCTCAGGTAAGAGAACATGCTGGGAGATGGGACAGGTAGGAAAGTATGAATCTCTGAAGTTCTGCAACTCAGCCGGGAGAACTCAGAGCTAACTTGGGACAAGAGAAGCACAGGAATCTACTTGGGAAGCACATGACGCCCAAATATTTATTTAAAAAAAAAAAGAAAGAAAGAAAAGAAAACAAAAGACATCGTAAATTATGGGCTGCAGTTGTTACAACCATGGTTTGTCTTTTTAAATAATTTTTATTTTATTTTATCAAGTGGGATTTTAAAGACAGGGCCTGGCTCTAGCACCCAGGCTAGAATACAGGGCGTGAACAGAGCTCACTTCAGCCTCCAAGTCCTAGTCTGAAGCCATCCTCCTTCCTCAGACGTTCATGGAACTGGATGTGCACCACTATGACCAGCTAATTATTAAATTTTTTCACAGAGAGGGGGTCTTGCTATGTTTCCTATGCTGCTCTTGTAATTCTGGGCTCAAATGAATCTCCCAACTTGACCTGCCAAAGTGCTGATATTATAGGTGTTATTCACCATACCTAGCCTGTTTTCTCCTTTTGATATGAGTAATTATTGAGGTAAAATTCCTGTAACTCAAAATTAACCAAAGCAGCATTTACTATACTGAAAGGGGTGTGCAGGTACCAGTGCATTTACTCTTAATCAGAATCACCTCCCGACTGAGTGTGGTTTCTTATTCTTTCATCCAAAAAATCTAGTCTTGTTCACTCCATCTTTCTTTGGGTCTTTCATCTGTCCAATTAACCTCACCTTTACATGGCCAGACTTCTATGTGTGACACTGTCCAATCACTACAATACACTCTGAATTTTTTTTTCCTTTTTTTAACTTTCAAATTTTTTATTTCAAAGATGTGTGGTAAAATTCAGGGTTAAGTATATAAATGTTCCTTATGCAAGTACCCTTGTTGATGAGGTGTGCCTCCCCCTGGCAGCTTTCCTCAACTGCCAATCCCACCCTACCTCCCCTGGCAGTTTCCCATTATTGCCAGTCTCTTTCTTATAGTATTATGAAAATTGTTCCAGGTTCGCTTATGAGTGGGAACATATGGTACTCTGTTCTTTGTTTCTGAGGTAGATCACCGAGTATGATAGATTCGAAATCCATCGTAGTTGCTGTGAAGTCCACATGTTTGTCCTTCTTTATGACTGCATAATATTCCATTGTGTATATGTACCACTTTTTTTATCCAGTCCAGTTTCGACAGGCAGCATGGTTAGTTCCATGTGTTTGCTATTGTGAATAGTGCTGCAATAAACATGCATGTGTAGGTATCTTTTTATAGAATGATTTGAGTTCCTCCAGGTATATTCCCAATAGGGAGATTGCTGGGTCATATGGAAGGTCAATTTCTAGTTCTTTCAGAAATTGCCACACTGTCTTCCAAAGGGGTTGCACTTGTTTGCATTCCCATCAGGAATGTAGAAGCGTTTCTTTTTCTCTGCATCCTCACCAGCATCTGTGGTTGTTTTATTAATGATGGCCATTCTTACTGGGGATAGGTAGTAACTCAATGTGGTTTCGATTTGCATTTCTCTGATGATGCGTGAGGCTGAGCACCTTTTCATGTGTCTGTTGGCTGCCTATATATCTTCTTTAGAGAAGTGTCTATTCATGAAAATTTTTACATGAAAATGCCTATATCCAAAGTGAGGAACTGAAAGGACATCTTTTTGGAACATATTCGGGAAAATACATTATTTTGCTTACAGAATAAAAAGGTGAATATAATCTTGAGACTTCTTCTAATAGATAGGGGACCTTTTGTTTTGAAGATATTTTTCATTCTTTTTGCGACAGACATTTTTAAAAACAGGCTGAAAGTCTGCTTAGAGGGCTCCATCAGCATATTCTCACAAATCTCTTTTGCAGTACCCAGAACTTATCACCCATCTCTCTCTTCTCTTATATTTTATCTCCTATTTCACCTTAGGGACTACAGATTCCTAATTAAAGCTCAGGCAAAAGAGCTAACACAGTTAAGGGATAAGTTACATGATGGGAGAGATGCCTCCGTCTCACTCTTTGAGCATCTCAAGCTCCTCCTCAGTCGTGGTGACCCTGATGACTACCAGAGGAAGAACCTCCAAGAGCCACTGACTGAGGGACTCAGGCTGGCAAAGTGCCTCATCTGCAAACTCAGGCCAGGTAAGCTGACTACAGGCCAAGATGACACAAAGATTCAGGCTTATGAGAGACTCTAGACCTCCAGCCCTCCACAAATAGCAATTTTTTCAGTGGTCTTTTTTTCCACCAATCACTTGTGGCCATGACATGACCAGGACTTCCTTGGTAGGACAAGATGAGACACACACAGTAAGATGAGGTCACAGTATTGCACAATCATTCTTTCTCTTTGAAGGAACATGGTCTCTGGAGTAAGAGGTGATGTCCAACCAGTTTTATAGGTCAAGAATGAGCTTCTGACAGGAGGCGGCTTGTTGAGTTAATAAAGCCCTAGACTGAAAATGAAAGTTCCCAGGCTCTATCCTCAACAATGTCTTTAGTAACTGTGGTTGGGTGATTTTTTTAATCCCTCCTGGATTTCTATACCTTCATTTGTAAAATGAGTCAATGATTTTTTTCATGGTAGATGTAGCAAAGTGGGAAAATTTATGACTATATCATTGGATAAGTTACTTGATGTACTCATAGGTGGTAGGAAAGTTGTTTAGACTGGAGCACATTCAAAAAAGAGAATTTCCCCCTGATAACTCAGCAGAAGTCAACCTTGAGGGCCCATGAAGTTCCCAGATGTGTAGAGGCTTGAGGGAAAGTGTTGCTAATTCTCTCTAAGAGAAAGAAATAAGGTCTAAGTAAGAACTGTGAAGGGACATAGAGCCTGTTCCTGGGAATCAAATCAGTCACAGGATGTGGGAATATGGTGTAGCCGAAGACCCGAGAAAAGCTAGACAAACCTCCTCTACATGAGGTGCAAAAAATATTTTTAATTTTGCCATATTATGGTGGTGATTCTTCTGAGAATTCGTTGCCTGATTGGTGAGGAATCCTTGCCAAGGCATTTTATATATTAAAAAAACTTAACATGAAAGCTTTTGGTGTTTTCCTGACTCTTATGTACGTGTTTATGACTCTATGAATATATGTCATCAAGCTTGTACATGGGGAAGTGAGAAATATCTAAATGGACATTTCTGTATTTGTTTGCAGAAACTGAAGATGATGAGGAGGTTGAAGATACACCCAGGTAAAAATGAATTTTCAGAAGGGGGAAAAAGTAGAAAAAAAGTCTTAGAAAGGGCAAGGGGTGGATGAAGGTAGTCACATATTCCAGATGCAGGGATAAAACAAAACACAAAAACATACAGAATGTGCCTATTTCATGAACCAATCCAACAGCTAAACAGTCCTGTGAACATGGTTGTCTCTTGTCCTTTTGGTACTTGGAAGCAGGATCCAAGATAAACTCATTAATCCTAGGAATTTCTTGCATAAACACAGAAGAACTGTTCTCTCTTTCAATAAAAACTGGGAGGAGATGTGAATCTGTTTTCTACACATATGTCTTTAGGTTCCTGTTGAGAAACATAAATGCAGACAGGTAAAAAGCAGAAGAAAAGTTAGGAAGTAACTAGCAAAGTTATGCATCAAAAAGAGAACCTCGACCCAAAAATATTTACTTGTCATGCCACAATATGAAAACAGCATAGAAGGCACACCATCTCTTTAGTCTACAGTGGCTCAATGGCCTGTATTTACTTCTCCATTGTGTGTTAAATTCATTTCAACTGAGTCACATGGTGTATCTGGTGTCATTTTTCTCCAATATTCTGTGTGCCATGTCTGTCCCAACCGAGATAGTTGAGTCTCCTTCCTTGTTAGCTCCTACCTGCCCAGTTCAATAAATACCAGCACTGTCTTTGTCTCTGGCCCCCATGGCAGCCACACTCTGTTCCACAGAAAGGAGGATTCCTTTTTCCCTCTTCAAGGGACTCTCCCCTGTACTCACTTGGACCATTCCTATACTTCATGTCAAAATCACGTGGGACACTTCAAAACCAGCTGGGCCTACCTAGTGTCCAGTGGCTCTTGGTTTAATCATCTGTTGTTTCTATCCCAGCTGGCTCAGCACAGTACTACAGGAAACTGAAGAAAAGGAAGACCATCAGGACTCACTGGAGGAATGTTCTTCCACTTGTTCTATTTGTCACGACCTATCCGACTCTGGTCACCAACACAGTAAATCTCCATCTAAGAAACAGGAAGTTGATTCTTCTGTGGATGTAAACAGTGAACCTTCTCATTATCAAGGGGAAGAAGCTCTGAACGTTCTTACAGGTAGCCTCTATATTCTTTGCATCCCATACCTCTCTGTAGACTAAGAAAGATCATATCTCTGTCTAGACTAAGGAAGGACAACCCGTCTAAACACAGATTTAGTTTGAGTCAGTAACTAGGTTGAAATTTTAAAATTATATATCAGGAGTGGTAAGGGAACCTTCCTTTCTTTCTCATCCTATGTCATGTTTTTGTCTCCTTGGCTTCAGGGTGTTGGACCACAGGAAGGTGTGATACAACTCATACCCACCTAAACACAAAACGTTCCAACAGGCCTCCTAACATAGATTCAATGTCTCTTGTCACTTCCAGTGATATGATTTGTGTCCCTGAACAATGTTAATGGGACTTCTGTGCCTGTCCAAGCCAATTGGCAGCCTTGTCTATATATTTGAAGATGCTGAACATGGTTTCACAGCTCCAGGCCCCAGTATATATCACCTTTAAGTTGACTTGTCTTAGCTAAGTTGTCATCTTAAAATCAGGATGTACACATTTGCCTTGCTATTAAGTTTTCAGGGGAAAAAAAGCTGTGCCCTGAGGTCTGTACCCCAGGAATGGCCAATGTTTCCATTTAACAACACTGATTCCCTTTCATGCAAGAGCTTTTAGAATTCCTTCTATCTAGGACTGTTAGTGAGGTACTCAGGTCCCCTGCTATCATAGTGTTAGAGTCAATATCTTTTTTTAGTTTACTTAGTAGTTGCTTTATAAATGCTGGTGCTCCTGTACTGGGTGCATATATGCTTAAGATGAATATTTCTTGTTGATGGATTTCACTTTTTATCATAATGGAGTGTCCTTTTATATATTTTTAAATTTTGATAGCTTAAAGGTTGTTTTGTCTAATACCTAAAGGTTGTTTTGTCTGTTATTTGGATTGTGATTCCAGCTTTCTTTTGTGATCCATTTGCCTGTAAACTCATTTTCCATCCTTTAACTTTGAGTCTCTGTGCATCCCTTTTGGTGAGATGAGTTTCCTAGATGCAGCAAATAATTGGGTCATGGCTTCTTATCCAGTTTGCCATTCTGTGTCCTTTCAGTGGTGCATTTAGTCCATTCACATTCAGGCTGATTATTGAAATGTGATTTTTTATCCTGTCATGTGGTTCTTAGAAAGTTTTTTCTTTGCTTGTTTTCTTTTGATTTGGGGGTTGATGTATGTATGTGTCTTCAAATTTCTTGTTCTACTGTATTCTCTGTTGATTCTGTGCTCTGTCGTTCTCTTGGGAAGTGTGTGGTCATTTTTTTTTCCTTCTGTGCTGAATACTTTTTTAAGTGTCTCCTATACAACTGATGTGGAAGCTGCATAATCTCTTAGGGATTGGATGTCAGGGAAGGATTTTAATTCTCCATCACTGATGAAGCTGAGCATGGCTGGGCAAAAATCAACAAGGAGATCCAGAAACTAAATTGGACACTCAACCAAATGGAGTTAATAGATTATTCCACCCAATAACCACAGAGTGTACATTCTACTCATCACCACATGGAACATACACAAGATTGATCACATCCTTGAACACAAACCAAGCATAAACAAATTCCATAAGGTTGAAATATTGCCATGCACCTTCTCAGACCACAGTTCAATAAAAATAAATATCAACACCAACAAAATTCCCTGAAAGCCCACAAAGA